TGCACTGATACTTGTTGTAAAACGATTTCAGTCCTTAATAAACAAGAAGAACAAGAAGATCTTCTTATCAAGTTAATCAGCAAACTAGATGACCTTGAATTAAAGTCACTTTATTTAAAGAAACTTAAGAAGTTAGTCTTCCCTGAAGAAGCCAGTATTAGTCAACCCCAAGTGGCCCCAAAAATTTGTCTTAGCACAACCCTAGAAAGGTTTAATAAGGCTAAGAAAGAAATTACGGTCAAAGATCTACAAAGAGAAGTCAACAAAATTAAGGAAGAAATTAAGTCCTTAAAATTAGAAAACATAGAAATTCGCTCACATCTCAATAGTATCCAAACGCAAGCACTCCTTAACAATAATGATGAAGAACATAATAGTTCTTCCTCAGACTAAGAATCAGAATTCAAGTCCATAGAAAATCCAACAGAAAACCTAGTTTTAGGGTTACTACAAAAAATTAGGATCCATAAATGGTATTCTAAAATAAAATAATAATTGAAGACTTCCAGTTAGAAACAATTGCTTTAATTAACTCAGGTGCAGACTTGAATTGTATTCAAGAAGGTTTAATTCCCACTAAGTATTTCCATAAAGCAACAGAAACGTTTAGTGTAGCAAACCAATCACCAATACAGTTAAAATATGAAATCCTAAAAGCTCATGTTTGTCAAAACAATCTTTGCTTTAAAACTCCATTTGTTTTGATATTAAAAAAAAAAAAAAAACAAAAAAAACATTTCAGACCCAATCATTTTAGGTCTTCCCTTCATAGCTCTCTTATATCCTTTTAAGGTACACCATAACCGTATAACCACCAAAATGTTAAGACAAAAAATCACATTTGAGTTCTGCACGGAAACATATCTAAAAAAATTAAGACAATTACAAAAATATAGCAACTCAAAAACCATCAATCTAGTCACCAAAAATTCACAACAAAATAATTTATTAAAAGAAGAAATTAATTACAAAAGAATTGAAGAACAATTAACAAACAAATCTTTGGTACAAAGCATTAACAACTTTCAAAAGAAATTCCTCCGGATCTCCTGACCAAATTGTTCATTTCCATTTAGGAGTATGGAATCCAGCACAAAGTCATTATAGTACTATTAAGAAAGAAATATTATCTATAGTATTATGTATTAGTAAATTTCAAGATGATTTATTAAATCATAAGTTTTCAGTCAGAGTCGATTGCAAATCTGCAAAACATGTTTTACAACAAGATGTTCAAAACATTGCATCAAAACAGATTTTTTCACGATGGCAAGCTATATTAAGTATTTTTTATTTTGAAATCGAATACATCAAAGGTAGTCAAAATGGCATCCTTGATTTCCTAACCAGAGAATTTCTGCAAGGAAAGAATGACAGTAAGAAGACCTGATCAGAGGAGGCTTCCAGCCACTCTACCACCACCACCAGTAAAACAAGAATCAAACCCATATTCTTTGCAAGTAATTGTTCCGCCTAATTACTAATTTTGAATATAAGCTTGTTACAGATACATAAAAAACATTCCGTGCGCTTTCTCCCAACTATATGATTATAAGCATGCATAGTAACCATAGTAATTGTTTATTAGGACGACGGTTGCTGAGGGTAAGACATGCTAGTCTCAGAGTAACCGCTTCAATGGAACTTGCGTGAGTACGAGTAACGGTGCAGTTGTTTGCCAAACTAAGGGCTTCCTCGGTGCTGGTGCTTGGATTTACGCTGCAGATGCTTTTGCACACAAAACTATTAATTAGCTAATTAATTAAAATAGTGCTGAGCTGATCACTTATCACTTACTTATTAGTGGGTGCATGGACGCACGTACTTTGGTACTAGTGTGGAACTAGCCGGAATAATTCACGGTTAGGTTGTTAATTAATATCGTATATTTGTTATGGTTTTTAATGTTCTTGTTTGTTATGCATCATCGTCGTGAGTTACTTTGTAAAGTATGTCGTACTGCGTAATTTCTTTATGGGTTAATCTCAGTTTACTATCTTGAAATTTTTTGGTTTTCAACATTACATACATCAAGTTTTTTTTCATCCTAGTCAAGTACCTAAAGTGATAATTAATTTTGGGACACTTCCTCGTGAATTTGTAGTGCATTGTATAAGGAATGTTCAAGGGTTCTTCATCTAAACTACTGAAGGTTGATACAATGGATTATGAATCTTTTAATTTTATCATTCTTGAGCAATATGTTAGATGTTTTTTTATTTTTTGACAAAGGATAACGTTGGTGGGTTAAATAGATAGTTGTTAAGGGGGAAGGGATTCGGCAGAGATCGAACTTGCACCATGACATGTAGGCATGATTGCTTTTTGGTACTACAGTAAAACGTCATCCGCCAGTATGTTAGATGCTTACTAATGAAATGATTGCTGTAAATTTGTTGCATTCATCGAAGAAAAGACAACTGATGCCCCGTCCATCGTATTATCTTCCATTTACATATAAGTCATTCTCTTGTTACTAAACATTTTACACAAATTGTAGAACCGGTTGCACATAACCCAACCTGATAGTGCTACATGTTGCCGTTTAATTGTAATAGTAATAATTGTTAAAGTTAAACTTAATACCTTTTACATATAAATAGAGTCGAACCATTTAATTGTATTAGTAATAATCATTTGGCCTTTAGATACGATGTTTAGTGCTACAGATCAAGTTGTTATAGAATAGTTTGTTAAAAAAGTCCAAACAAACATTCCTATATCCAATCCGAATAATGCTAGGGAGATTAAATTGGTAAACTAAATGACATGGAAGTTCATGAGTTGATTATTACTTAAAAGTTGATAAACGTGCTCATTTTCTATTGGTGACACATCATTTAGTTTACAAATTTAGCCTACAAATTTAGTCTCCCTAGCATTACTCTTACTGAGTAACGCTAGGGAGACCAAATTTTTTAAACTAAATTTACAAACTAAATGATATAATTGTAGATAATTCGATTATTAATTAAGTGCAAAATGTTTGTTTCTTATTAATGACATATCATTTGGTTTAAAAAATTTAGTTTCCCTAACATTAGTCTTACTCTATCCAATCCTACAATCTCTGTGTGGGGTCCATCGTCTACCTGAATAAGAAAAACCCCGCTTTAACCAATTCAACGATGTCGTACCTCAGCAGAACACCTTTAGTTTCAAATGCCAAACCAACTGATCAAACCCTCATTCCTTTGCACAATTCCATTTTCGCATTTTCTGATTCTGGCCTTTCGATGAAATTTGTATTGTTGAAATCCGAAAAAAATCCCCTCATTGATCATAAAAACAACAACAAACAAGTGGAGACAACATATTCATTTCCATCATGGGAATGGTTTGCCTACCAATGCACTCCAACCCAATTCCATTCCGTGGTAGTCCTTCGGGCTTTATCCGAATTAGGGTACAGAATCCAAGTGATCGGAGTCCTTCCCGAACAATTCTTGTGTGCCAAGCTTGCGGAGTGTCCTGATCAGCCTATGCCAGTCTGTGTACCTATTCATGCATTGACTATTTAATTCATGATATCCCTAAAATGAACTGTGTGGTATTGCCAAGGACGGAGCCACCTTAGGCCCAAGGGACGGATGCCCTAACTCCTAACTCAGTTTTTTGGGAAAAAAAATTGTACATATTACATATAATAATTTCACGTGATAAAGCATTTTCAACTATGAAATTTCTAACTGATCAATTGAGAAATCGTAAGAAAATTAATTGATAAATGATAACATGGTTATTTTTGTAGGAAGAGATATTTGATGGTATTGATAATGAAATTGTTATGCAACGTTTTCAAAACTTGAAAAATGCGTTGTGAGATATTATAATATCTTGTATGATATATTTTATGGATTAGTATATGTGCATTGTTAGTAAATTCTTAAGCTTTTTAATTTGTGACTTTATTTTTAGAATGTCCCGATTCATATAGATCTCAGACTTCGTCCTTGATGTATTAGTATGAATTTACAAGAGCTTATATATATAAGGGAGTTTTAACGAAAGCACACGGTACTGTTTACTTTAACGAAAAACCACATTTTTACACTAAAAAGTCAATCCTTGTACTATTCACTTTACCCTTTATTTTGTCTTTATCATTAAAACTCAAAATTTTAAAGCCATTTTCATTAGTTTTCTTTATATATAAAGATACATAAGATACATATACATATATATATATATGTGTGTGCGCGCGCGCGCGTGTGTGTATAAATATTTCCTGCAAAAGAATGCCATGCTCGGGGTGCATTGACAGGGGCTCTAATATCTGCAGCCAGCAAAGAGAACAAGGATAAAGTTCTGGTGGATGCAATTAGAGGAGGTGCCATTGCGACCGCTGAGGAATTCATCAACTATCTCAACTGAACATGGACGTAATATTGTACCCGATCTCTCTGTAGATCCTGGAGAGCTATGAGTAGGTTTCTCGTGTCATCTTCCTCATGAATTCGTAGAGCATTGTATAAAGAATGTTCAAGGGTTCATCTGAACTACTGAAGGTTGATACAATGAATTATGAATCTTCTGGTTTTATCAACTTGAGCAATATGTTCGATGCTTTTTTTTTGACAAACGATAATGTTAATGGGTTAAATAGATAGTTGTTAGAAGGAAAAGAATCGGTAGGGATCAAATATGCTCTATGGTGCAAATGCATAACTGTTTTCCACTATTGCAAGAAAGTGCGAATATGTTAGATGCTTACTGATGCAAAGATTGCTATGAATTTGCTGCATTCGCCGAAGAAAAAACAACCGATGCCCCGTCCATCGTATTATCTTCTATTTTCAAAATTGGTATCCAAATATGCAAATCCACATGTATATAATTTAGATTAGTTTGGTAGACAGACTAAAACTTGTGTAAAAAAACAACTATATTGTTATAAGAACTATGGTTATGCCACATCATTTACATATACAAATGTGAATAATAAGTCAAAGTGCTTAAAACCCAAATATTCTTTTAAAAGCAAAAGTAAAATGTGCTTGAGAAAGAAACTCTAATGTGCATAGAAAAATGTATGACAGAGAACTTAGTCAACAAAAATAGGGATTTGGTTTATGGTGCCTCGTAAGTTGGAAATTTCAACTTTGTATTTTGGGTATGGAGCTACCTGGCTTTACGGAGACCGTTCCTCTTTAATCTGCACTAGATCACTATATAATAAGCCTTGCATGGTTATTGTTCTTTGCATCAGCGTCTAAGATCTCTCTTATTATACACAAGCACGCACATAGAAACACACAGATCAAGCACACACTTACATATACACAGATTCAAATGGAGCGTTCAATGCGTCTTGTTTCAGCCGCCTTTGTTCTTGTCTTGCTTTTGGCCGCTACCGGTAATTATACCTCTTTTATTTAGTAATTAATTTTTTATGATGTTTCTAATAAAGCATCTTATTCAACAAAAAAAAATTGATCTTTAGAGATGGGGCCAATGGGTGTTAAGGCAAGGACTGAGTCAAGCAAGGCAGTTGAGGGGAAGATCTGTGAGGTTCCAAGCACCCTGTTCAAAGGGTTGTGCTTTTCGTCTAACAACTGTAAACACACCTGCAGAAAGGAGCAATTCACCAGAGGCCATTGTAGTGTCTTGACCCGTGCTTGCGTGTGCACCAAAAAGTGCTAATTAATTAGTTAAAAAGAAATGTAATCTGTGTAGAGACCGTGCTTGTGTAATGTGATGGATTGATATGGCCCTGTATCCACATGGTTGCTTTTGCTAATAAATTGAATGACCCTGCATGGATCATTATTCATATGTCTAGTGTAGTGTTTTCATCGCTTTTGACGTATTTTTAGTCGCCTATTATCCTATATGTTTTTCTTCAGGATTATTATTAACATTCCAGATAGTCACCAAAGACTCTTCTCTTTGTTTATTGACTTTCAATTAAGAAAGAGTGCACGATAATTACCGTGAAATGCTAATAACAATTTATTTTTTTCTGTTTTGACAAAGCATTTTGTTGAAAAATTTTACGTAGTGTACTTGGATTCAACAAATTACTTTAATTTGTGTCACAAAGATTATTTAAATAACATTGTCGATTTCATATGTACTTTTTTGTCCACACCTTCTGTTGTATTAAGTTCTTTTGCCTTTTAAACCAGTAGTAATAAACGTAACACAAGGTGAGGTTGATGCACAAGAAAAAAAATTGAGAAAAAGGTTCGAAATTGCTTAACCAACTTTTAAGCAAAGACTTAATTATTTATTTTTATTTTATTTTATTTTATTGTAGAAGAAATAGTCCTTAAAGATTAATATTTTCTTGATAACATTTTAAATGACTCTTCCACATTTTTTTTTCTTAAAACACCTTCATATTTTTATGTCACTTTTCTGCATAGTATGTGTGGTATTGCCAAGGACGGAGCCACCTTGTGCCTATGGGACGGATGCCCTAACTCAGTTTTTTGTGAAAAAATTGTACATATTACATATAATAATTTCATGTGATAAAGCATTTTCAGCTATGAAATTTCTAAATGATTAATTGAGAAATCGTAAGAAAATTAATTGATGAATGATAACATGGTTATTTTTATAGGAAGAGATATTTGATGGTATTGGTAATGAATTTGTTATGCAATGCTTTCAAAACTTGAAAATGCATCGTGAGATATTGTAATATGTTGTACGATATATTTTATGGATTAGTGTATGTGCATTGTTAGTAAATTCTTAAACTTTTTAATTTGTGACTTTATTTTTAGAATGTCCCGATTCATATAAATCTCAGACTTCGTCCCTGATGTATTAGTATGAATTTACTAGAGCTTATATATATAAAGATACATACATACATACATACATACATATATATAAGCTTGTTACAGATACATAAAAAACATTCCATGCGTTTTCTCCCAACATATATATAAGCTTGTTACAGATACATAAAAAACATTCCATGCGTTTTCTCCCAACTATGCTTCTTCCTGTTGCTTTTGGTGGCCACCGGTAGTATTTCTTCTTGCTCGATCTTGTCAACAACTTCATGGTTAATATATATATTATTATGATTATAAGGATGCATAGTAACCATTGTTTACTTTCTAATATTAAAGATTAGGACGACAGTTGCTGAGGGTAGGACATGCGAGTCTCAAAGTAACCGCTTCAATGGAACTTGAGTGAGTAAGAGTAACCGTGCAGTTGTTTGCCAAACTACGGGCTTCCTTGGTGGCTGGTGCTTGGGTTTACACTGCAGATGCTTTTGCACACAAAACTGTTAATTAGCTAATTCATTAAGCTAGTGATGAGCTGATCACTTATCACTTACTTATTAGTGGGTGCATGGACGCACGTACTTTGGTACTAGTGTGGAACTAGCTGGAATAATTCACGGTTAGGTTGTCAATTAATATCGTATCTTTGTTATGGTTTTTAATGTTCTTGTTTGTTATGCATCATCGTTATGAGTTACTTTGTACAGTATGTCATATTGCGTAACTTCTTTATAGGTTAATATCAATTTACTACCCCGAAGTTTTTTTATTTTTAACATTACATACATCAAGTTTTTTTATCTCAATATGGTACCTAAAGTGATGATTAATTTTATAACTCTATCATACATCTTTCTCGTGAATTCGTAGAGCATTGTATAAAGAATGTTCAAGGGTTCTTCATCTAAACTACTGAAGGTTGATACAATGGATTATGAATCTTCTAATTTTATCATTCTTGAGCAATATGTTAGATGCTTTTTTTTTTCTGACGAAGGATACCATTAGTTGGTTAAATATAGATAGTTGTTAGGGGGGGGGGAAGGGATTCGGCAGGGATCAAACTTGTACCATGATGTGTAGGCATGATTGCTTTACTGCCGCTACTGCAGTAAAGCGTCATCCGCCAGTATGTTAGATGCCTACTAATGAAATGATTGCTGTAAATTCGTTGCATTGGCCGAAGAAAAAACAACCGATGCCCCGTCCATCGTATTATCTTCCATTTACAAAATTGTGTAAGAATCAATATAAATGCATCAAACAATCTTACAAGTTACAACTATGTTACATCGCGGAATCAGGTTCGAAACTGCTCGGCAAGTTTCATCAGACTATAGGTTTCCGCATCCGGCCTTGCGCCACCAAGAATCATCCTCTTCAAAAGGTTTGAATCATAAACTTTGGCTTTTACATAAGCCTTAATCAAAGTGTTGTACACAAAAGTATGCCTTGCATACTTGGCTTTTGCAAGTTCGTCAAACAACTTCTCAGCATTCCCTACATCGCCCTTCTTGGCGAAACCCTCGACTATCGAAAGAGTGGTCTCCAACCATGGGGTAGAATTCCTTATCACGTTGCTCATCGTCGAACTCATCCCCAACTCTAAAGTCTTAACAGCTTCCTCTACCAATCCTGCTTTTAAGCAACCCAGAGCAAGATGCCGGAAAGTTATGGCATTTGGTTGGCACCCATCCGTCTTTATCTCCCGGAAAACCTTGGATGCTTTATCGATAAGGCCATGCTTGGAATAGACAGATATCATGGAATTGAACTGCTCAGTGGTTTTCATCCCTTTCACCGACTTCATCTCTAACCAAAGTTCTTCAGCTCGGTTGAGTTGTCCGATTCTACCAAACGCTTCAACTACCAGCACATAACTTTTAGACCTAACATGGGGGAGTTCCTTCACTATGCCCCAAGTTTTCTCCAATTGCTTCTCCTTCCCCAAATACCCATACAACATAATTAGAACATCTAACGTTGACCAGTTATTACCCGTAACTGACTTCTCCAAGGCTTCAACATACGCTTCAGCGGCCGTATACAACCTTGCCACTGCATGGGCAGTAGCTATGATGCAGTAAGATATTTCATTTGGCTCAACATTTGCTCGCTTCATATCAGAGTATACCTTCATCAATCCCTCAATATTGTAGTCATTCGCTTCTATTTTCATGAGAATGTTGAATGTCGAGGCATGTGGGGGAACTTTATCGGCCCTCATTTGAGCGAGGATTTTCGCTATCAACTTTTTACGCCTTGAAGAGGAATGAAGAACAATGAGCCGATTGAATACCAAGTGCGAGATGGGATGGCCCAATTCCCTCATTTTCTTCATCAACTCGAGCGGAAGCCTTATTGCACCCTTATCCAAGCAGGCAATCACAAGATTGTTGTAAAGGAGATCGTTTTGAAACTCCGCTGGAACGCGCGTAAAGAGTTCTTTGCCTTGAGATATCCCATGAAACTTGGTTGTAAATTCCAGCAGGTAAGAGTAGTCTAGCTCCTTTGGCCTGTAGGGCCTTTCTCTGATCACCCATTCCATTACCTGTCAAAAGCAATAGCTTTAGTTGTAAAATCCATCCCCCCACTCTACCAAATTGGTTCAAAATTTAAAGGGTAGTGAGACTGATGGTTCTTATACATTGGCCAGAGCGGGTGTGCTCCTTTGTGCACTCAAGTTCGAATACCCCTCCCCGCAGTTGAGAATCCATTAAAACATAAAACACAAAGCTCAAAATGTTTCTAAAAAAGTTCACTTTCTTCTTTTCATCAATTTTCTCAGCAACTAAAAGACTCCCAATTTAAACAATACCAAATAAATCTACCCATTAGAAAAATGAACGTAGGGGAGAGAGAGAGAGACCTCAAGAGCGCGTTTATTCTGCTTGAGCTTCCTGAGGCGGTTAATGGCGTGGAAGACCTCACCTCTATGAATGGGGAAGCCATCACCCATCCAGCTCTGGAAGGCAGACCCAACTGGTTCTCCACTCGGCAGCTTCTCAATCCTGTGAGATAAGCAGGGACTCGGTTCTGCTCGTTCGGACTCGACGATTTTCTCGGGAAAATCATTTGGTGTTTGGGTGCAGAGAAAAAATTTGAAGCCGAACGAAATTTTCTGAGCAGAAAATTGTGGGACGTGAACTGTTCGACGATTTGCCTGAACGAGAGTGCGATGTATCACAAGGTACAGAGTTTGCATACTTCCATTCAGAAAGCAAATGCATCAGGTGCCTGGTAAATGCTAAAATTTCCAACCCATTTACTTAAGCCCAAAATTCGAAATTGGGCCTCGCTCCCAAGCCCAAACGGATTTATATATCTCTGTTCAACCAAAAAGGGAGCTTCTGGCTTTCTAAATGCACCCTAAAATCTGCTCAACGCAGCTAAATTATGGCCCTCAAATATTAAGAAAAACCCACAAGTAATTGCATGTGGGAAATTTTATTTAAACTCATGTAACATATTTCTATACTTATTCTTTGCATCCATTTGATTTTTAACTAAACTATTAATATCTCTTTAAACCCTAATTTACTACCTAATATACCTACCCCCCATAAACCCAATTCAATATGTGGATTTATTTTTACACCTATTTGATTTTTAACTCTATCTTTGCGCCGTCTAGAAATGGACACTGAGAATTGGGGTGTGAATCCAGCCATGGCTGACAACAAGACTGACACTTCTATAAATGTTGACAAAAATCATGTATCACCATCTCTCTCTATGTGGTCTCTGTTTCATGAGCATATGTGTCTGCTACCATACCTTTTCATAGGAATCTTTCTATAGGCTTCATGGAGTGCATGGAGCACTAGTAATCAAATTGGGTTTGTTCGAAAACATTATTGTTTGGTGATAGCTTGTGTATTGCGGCGAGGAAGGAAGATGTAAGAATAGTTGTAAGGCTGCTTGAGACAGGTGCGGCAATCAACTCTACATGGGTGGACTGCTCTCCATAGAGCCTATTTCAAAGGGAAGATAGAAGTCATTCGAACATTGCTTGAAAAGGGTG